AAAGTGTATTATATCATCCCAAGTGGCGTTTGGTGATAAGCTAAAAATGTCAGTTTTTGCTAAAAGAGTAAAAGTTGCTTGTTATAGCTCAAAAAAACCAATTACTAGTGGTTCTTGCATTTGGCATTTATTATAGCTTATATGCTTATCAGTGGATATTATGGTTATACATATCTGTTGTAGAATGTGGATATAGCTTATTTGCTTATCTGAGAATGTGGATATTGTTGTTATATATATCTGTTGAGAATGTGGATAGAGCTTATATGCTTATCTTTGTGAAGTGTGGATACAGCTTATATGCTTGTCTAGAGAAGTGAAGATAGAGCTTATATGCTTATCTTTGTGAAGTGTGGATACAGCTTATATGCTTATCTGTGAATGTGGGATATTGTTTTTTTTATACATATCTGTTGAAATAATGATAGAGCTAACATGCTTATCAGTTGAAAAAGGGAAAATGAGAAGTAACTTGTCGTATGACATAAATATGTGATTTATGTGAATGTATCAGTGTTGGCCATCTACCAATTGCTAATCTTTTAGTCATTGTTCATGGTTGGTTTAGTGTATCTCTACTGGGCTGTGGCTCACCCTATATGGGAATATTATTTTCAGGTACAGGTAGCATGCCACCTCCAAGGACATAGCTTGGGAGGCTAGAGGCGGGCATACTTTTGTCGTTTTCTTTTTGATGTATTACATGTAATTTCAAGCCAAGGGCTTAATGTGTAATGAGTTAGTACTCTTTTGTTGTAACCAAGTGTTAACTTGGAAAGCTGTAAGCCCATAGGGCATTTGCTTTTGTTGTTCACATGTAATACTTTTTGTAATGAAACTCTGATAAATGAAAGAATGTGGAACTTTTGAATATCAATGCATGACTTATTTAATGGGTTTAATGTTATTATTTTGGGGGCGTTACAGAGGTCGCATGTCTATTTATCGTGGAAGTCTTCTAATGTTTCATATTGATTTTTTCAAAGTTTTCTTAAAGTTTTCCTACCAAGCCTCTATTTTAGAATTTTGATTCCATATCACATTTCGGCCTTCATTGTTGTTTTCCATTTTTGCTTCCTTGCTGGCAACCACAGAATAAAGTAGAAGTAAGTTCAATTATAGAAAATTCAATATGACTGCTTCGCAAGGAGACGAAAATAACCAATAATGCTTAGATGTGCAAGGAGATGGTAGACATCCCAAATGAAACACTATGTTTAAGTGGAAACAAATTACGACTATTTGACCTTTGTTGGCATGTATTATGATGGCTGTAATGACCGGGTTTCCTTCATTCTTTTCTTTCTGTTTGGCTTCGTCCTCTCTTACTTTCGTTGGGTTTGAAACGTCCGAAAGGTATATCAAATCTAAGCCCTTATTCATGTTCTGTTTGGGTGTGTTGAATCTCGCTGGTTCCGGAGCACGTTGGAGCAAGTTCGGAGGGTCCGGAAGCCAAGTTGTGAAAATCCGGGCTGGAAAGCAGGGGGCCGCACGTCCGGGGGCCCAGGGCCGCACGTGCAGGGAGTGGTGTGTTTTGCTGAGCAGTATACTGCCTAAAAGGCACGAGCGGAGAGGCAGGTGCGGGGAGTGCCGCACGTGCGGGAGGGACGCGCCGCACGTGCGGGACCTGGGCAGCCCGAAAACCCTATTTTTCTTACATTTTGGGTCAAACTTGTAACACATTTTGGGGCTCATTCTCTCACTCTAAAACCTATTTTCTCTCCACCTTCTCTCTAGAAATCATCCCTAGCATTAAAGACTCTTCGATCTTACAAATCTTGGGGCTTAGATTCAACATCATTCCTCTCTATTTTGGGTGTACAAGCTAGAGCAACATTGTGTGGTGGGGTTAGAGCTTTGACAACTTGGGTTTCTAGGGTTTCTTCTCTCTCACCATCTCCATTTCTTCACCAAGCTTTGAGGTAGGGTTTCCTTTGAGTTGTATGTGTATTTATGCAAGTTTCTTGTTGATTTTGTGAAACCCTCTATGTATTTCGAAAATGGAGCCTAGGGCTCAAGAAATTGTTGATTTTTGCTTAAAGAAAAACTCATCTCATCTTCTTTTAAAGAATATTTGAGAAGTGTGGAACCTTGTAGATTGAGATTGATATGAATGGAGAGAGTTCATAAAGGAGATGAAAAATGTTTAGATTTTGTGAAAAACTAGAAATTGGGGCTTTTTGTGAAAACATGGAAATCCATGGAGTAAAATATCCTTTCTTGTGTTTATATGGGTGTATGAGTATAGAGTTTATATTTGGTGAGAAAAATGATAATTTTCTTGATATATGAGAGTGAGGAATTCACTTTGAAGGTTGTTGCTAGTGACATGGAAAAATAATTTATTGTGAGAAGATAGTTATTGAACACTATTGACTTTGAGAATTGAAAACTCGGAGGTTGATATTGAAAGTCTGACATAATCATGGAATGACTAGGGTGTTATGAAATATGTATAATAATGAGCTAATCCTACGTGTTAATTGACATCGGTGGAACTTGTGATTTATTGTGTAATGGTATTGAGGAAGGTAAAGGAAGAAAGGCTATGGAATGTCATTGTTGCATCATATCTTCATGTAAATTTTGTCATTTCTATACATCATGGCAGGAGTTTTTGGAAAACATCTACATTGAGAAAGGTTATATTGTAATAAGAATTATGAGAATGTTAAAGGGGTAAATACGTGGTAAGTCCGGATAGAGGGTGTAGTTGTATTTGATAAGATGGCCTGAGTGTCCTTGGTGAAAGACCAGAAAACTGCACGGATTGGTGTCGAGCCTTCCAGTTAGCACCGGTAAAAATGACAGTTTGGTAGTGTTTGTTGAGCCTACTTGCAGACACCAGCCTAGGGATTACCAGAAATGTATTTACCATCCCCTTTTGATTTAAAATTGGGAATGTGGGAAATTAATGAGGTTGTATAAAAGTTGACTATAAGCATGGTGATTTTCAAGAAAAGCATAGTATGAGTTTTCCTTCAAATGGCGTGGCATAACATATGCATTTACATAAAATATTGTGAATCTTGCGCAAATGTACATACTTTGTTAAGGTTTCTCTACTGGGCTATATGCTCAACCCTATGGGTTTTGGTGCAGGTAAAGATGTGGTGATCCCGCCAAATTGAGGGCGTGGAAGTATTTTGAGAAGAGTAGTGCACTCTTATTTTGTTGTGATTAATTGTAAAGCCAAGGGCTATTTTGTTTTGGGTCCGAGTGACCACTTTTGTGTAACTAGGCTTATGCCTTGGAAGATGTATGCCCTTAAGGGCATTGTATTGTTTTGAGAATGGATGCTTTACATGCTATAGATTCATATGTTTTGTAGCGATGAATGTATACCCGCATGTAAAACGTTTGTAAGGACTCTAATTTAATTATGTAAAGATGAGCAGATTATTGTTATTGTTGAGTGAATGTTGATCACTTGTGGGTAGTTCATGTCAAATTATTTTGGAGCGTTACAACTTCGTATCAGAGCTACCAAGTTTGAATATTTGGGGCTCGCGGGAAGTGGTCGTTATACCACAATGGGTTCATTTCGCATGACTAGGAAATATTTTGTTTTTGTGATTGTATGATGGTATGCTTATGTGACTACGTGGGTATGCGATTAGACTTTAGGGATGTTGTTCGCGTCTATTAGATTCCTTGAGATCTTATTAGAAGGGTACTTGATCAATACTCATTCTACTAAGAATTCTTGATTTTTCGTGGGACGAATCTCATCACTAAAGGATAATTCGTATGTGTTTATGTGACTAAGTGCTTATGTGGAGTGAATTAAATTGTTGCGTGATATATGGATGTAATTATTATAGTTTAACGTGTGAGGCAAGTTACGAGCACATTTGGAATTATGTGCTAAATTATCTATCTTGTTCTTTAATTAGGATGTTAGGAAGAGTTCGGACTCGAGGTGGTAGGGGTGGAAGGCGAGATCGAAGTCACTGAGGTGTGTTTGAGGTGCCGGTACAAGAAGAGGGTTTATGCCAAGCCAACATGGCCGAACAAGTAGGGCAAGCGGAAGTGCCAGGGCAAGCTGGCCAAGCCGCAATGGGGGCTCTAGCCCGGGAGATGGCGGGGATTTTGAGGGAGTCCATGAACATTCTGAGGGCGGAGACCCAAGCAAGAGAGAATGTTGCAGAGACTAGAGCTAGCTTCCTCACGAGGGAGTTCTTAAGGACCAAGCCGGATGAATTCCATGGTGGGTCCGATCCAAAGAAGGCGGATGAATGGTTGGAACAAACTGTGAAGACCTTTGATATGCTTCACAGTTGAGGGTGATCCTTGCCAGTTACTACCTGAAGAGTGATGCGGGCCAATGGTGGAAGTATGCTAAAGGCTGGATAGCACCAACATGGGAGGCGTTTGTAGTGGCCTTCCAAGACAAGTATCTACCCCCTACAGCTAGGGAGAGGTTGAGGAAGGAGTTCAAGGACCTTAAGCAACTAAACATGTCCGTGGCCAAATTTGAAGCGGCCTTTTCTAGTTTGTCCTAGTTTGCACCGGAATTGGTAGTGACGGAGGAGCGTCATTGCTTTGAGTTCGAGCAGAGGTTGAGGACAAAAATTTTGTTCAAAGTTGCTGGGAACATGATCCGAGAGTATGATCACCTTGTGGAGGCGGCCGCACATGTTTAGATTATGGTGGAGGCCAAGGAGCGAGACTTCGAAATTCGAGATCTAAGGGCCAAGGGTCACAGGGGGACTTTAGGCCTAACAAGAAGAGCAGGAACACTTTCACATCCCAATCCCAGCCACAGCAGTCTAGGTCCACTTTCCCCTTACCTAGTGCGGGCTCGGGAAAGAAAGAGTGCATCGAGTGGGTTCTCTTGCTTCAAATGTGGCCAATTGGGTCACAAGGCCTTTGCGTGTCCACAGAAGGGAGGAGGACAACAGATGTTACCACCACCACCTAACTGATCCGAGAACCAGTCTCAGTCTCAGAGTAGGGGGCAAGGGCCTACTTGTTTCCAGCGCGGTCAGTCAGGGTACATGAAGAGAGCTTGCTCACAGTTGGGAGGCGTTTCTGGCGCATCCGGGTCGAGGCAGACCCAGAGTCATCAGCAGACCCATTCAGTCCAGACTTCGAGAGTCCACCAGGGAGCCGCTTCGGCACAGTCAGTTCAGCAAGCCTATGCTCCAAGGGATGAGCAGGTTGACCAGAGGCCTCAGGGGCGCGTGTATGCTGTTATAGCGCCAGAGCAGATGCCAGGACCTTCGGTCATGAGAGGTATATTTATTGTGTGTAATTCATTGGCCAGTGTGTTGATAGATACGGGTGCGTCGCATTCATTCATATTTGCAGCATTTGAATCCGCATTGGGGTTAGAGGTGGCACAGTTAGCGTCTCCACTCAGAGTTGAGTCGCCAGTTGGGGGTACAGTTGACCTAGACTGGGGATGTCGTGATTGTGAGATAGAGGTTGCCAGGCGTAGACTTTCGTTTGCTTTTGTGTTGTTAGACATGTCCAGTTTCGACGTTATTCTAGGCATGGATTGGTTGTCTTCGTATCGGGCAGTGATTGATTGCTTTCGGCAAAGAGTCTCAGTGTGCACTTCAGGTGGCGATTGTTTTTATTTTCTGGGAGATAGGGTTGATCGGGCCTTGTCACCGGTGTTTGATCCTCGTAGTAAGAGCGAGCTTAGCAGCCTTCTAGCTACTCTCTTGAATAGTGAGAGTGTCGGGACTCGAGTTGAGTTGCCAAGGGTGGTGTGTGAGTACCCGAAGGTGTTTCCCGAAGACCTTATCAGTTTGCCACCCCACCAGGAGATTGAGTTCACTATCGACTTAGTGCCTGGAACGACACCCATTTCTATGGCGCCGTATAGATTTGCCCCCGCGGAGTAGCATGAATTGAAGATCCAACTCCAAGAGCTTTTAGACAAGGGCTTCATACTCCCTAGTACGTCACCTTGGGGAGTGCCGACCCTTTTTGCGAAGAAGAAGAATGGGTCGTTACGGTTTTGTATCGATTACCGTAAATTGAACCGAGTCACTGTTAAGAACAAATACCTTTTACCCAGAATAGATGACTTGTTCGATCAACTTAGAGGGTCTTGTTGCTTTTCGAAGATAGACTTGAGGTCGGGATACCACCAGTTAAGAGTCCGGGAGGAGGACATCCAGAAAACGGCCTTTCGTACGTGTTATGGCCACTACGAGTTCCTAGTAATGGCCTTTGGGTTGACTAACGCACCGGCTTCTTTCATAGACTTGATGAATCAGATTTTTAAAGAGTACTTGGATCGTTTTGTGGTCATCTTCGTGGACGACATCCTTATCTATTTGACCTCCAAGGAGGAACATGAGACTCATTTGAGGATAGTGCTTGACTTGCTTAGGGAGTATCGGTTGTATGCCAAATTTGAAAAGTGTGAGTTTTGGCTCCCCGAGGTGAAGTTTTTGGGCCACGTTGTGTCAAGTGAGGGAGTAACAGTAGATTCTTTGAAGATAGATTCTGTGCAAGATTGGGAGCAGCCTAAAAATGTTTTTGAGATCCGGAGTTTCTTGGGATTGGCGGGGTACTATCGGCAATTTGTGAGGGACTTTTCTAAATTAGGCGCGCCTTTGACTGGATTGACTAGAAAGGGGGTTAAGTTTGCGTGGGGTGAAGCTTGTGAAAAGTCTTTTCAGGAGCTAAAGACTAGGTTGACCACGGCACCGGTGTTGATCATTCCAGAGAGAGGTTTGGGGTATACTGTCTTTTGTGATGCATCTCAGGATGGGCTTGGTTGTGTTTTAATGCAAGAGGGAAAGGTTGTAGCGTATGGTTCCCGACAGTTGAAAATCCATGAGAAGAATTACCCTACCCATGACTTAGAACTATCTGCGGTAGTGTTTGCCTTGAAGATTTGGAGGCATTACTTGTATGGTGAGAAGTTTGAGATTTTCTCCAACCATAAGAGCTTGAAATATTTGTTTTCTCAGAAGACTTAAATCTAAGACAATGTAGATGGATGGAATTTTTAGAAGACTATGATTTTGAATTACACTATCACCCGGGGAAGGCCAATGTAGTGACTGACGCCTTGAGTCAAAAAACCGTGAGTAGTTTGGCGTGTGTGGCCATTCGGGAGTGGAGTATGTTGGGTGAAGTTGGCAAGTTTGAATTGCAATTGAGTGAGTCCGAAGGAGGTGCAACATTGTTTAGCTTGAGTGCTCAACCTGTTTTGATTAGCAAAGTTATAGAAGCACAACAAGGGGATCGGGAAGTAGAGTAAATTCGGGATAGGATCTCTAATGGGAAGGAAGAGAAGGGTTTGAATATTCACTCGGACCAGAGTATATGCTACCTAGACCGTTTATTTGTGCCTAAATCTCATAGAGTGGAGGTGCTTTGGGAATTCCATCATTCACGCCTTGCGGTACACCTGGGAGGCACCAAAATGTATCGTGACTTTAGCCATCAGTTTTGGTGGAGAGGTATGAAGCGGGATGTCGCGTCCTTTGTGTCCAAGTGCCTTACTTGTCAGCAAGTCAAGGCCAAGCACCAGAGACCAGCAGGTTTGCTACAACCCTTACCTATAGCCGAGTGGGAATGGGAGCACGTGACCATGGACTTTGTAGTTGGGCTTCCTAGAAAGCAACGGGGCAATGATACCATTTGGGTAATTATTGATAGACTGACCAAGTCCACTCACTTCATTCCTATGTGAAGTAGCGACTCAGTTGAGCACTTGGTAGAGTTATATGTTAGGGAGATAGTTCAGCTTCATGGGGTGCCGGTCACCATTGTGTCAGATAGGGATCCTCGTTTTATCGCTCGATTGTGGCAAAGCCTTCAAGAGGCATTGGGGACCAAGTAAACCTTTAGTACCGCCTACCACCCGCAGACCAATGGGCAATCGGAACGCACTATACAGATTTTGAAATATATGCTTAGAGCTTGTGTCCTAGATTTCAAGGGGTCTTGGGAGAGACATTTACCGTTGATTGAGTTTGCCTACAACAATAGTTACCGGGCTAGCATCGAGATGGCACCATTTGAGGCCTTGTATGGCCGACCTTGTAGGTCACCGGTTTGTTGGGCTGAGGTAGGGGATACACCGTTGTTGGGTCCAGAGATTGTGAGGGAGACAACCGAGAAAGTTACACTCATTCGTACAAGGTTGGCTACAGCTCAAAGCCGACAGAAAAGTTATGCCGATAAGAGGAGGCGACCCTTATCCTTTGATGTGGGTGATCACGTGTTTCTTAAGATTTCACCTAGACGGGGTTTAATGAGGTTTGCCAAGAGCGGGAAGTTGTCTCCAAGGTTCATTGGGCCTTTCGAGGTATTGGAGAGAATCAGAGAAGTGGCCTACCGGCTAGCCTTACCACCACAACTTTTGGGGGTTCACAATGTGTTTCACGTATCAATGCTTAGGAAATACGAGCCCGATCCTTCTCACGTGTTACATTGGGTTGATTTGGAGGTAGATGAGGATGCCTCTTATGAGGAGCGACCGGTTCAAATTCTAGTTACCCGGGAGAAAGTGTTGCAGGGTAAGACCATACCGTTAGTCAAGGTGTTGTGGAGGCACCATGGAGTTGAAGAAGTGACTTGGGAGAGGGAGGTAGAAGTCCGCTCCAAATATCCGGATTTGTTTGAAAATGTTTAGTTACTTACTCTAATTTGTAATGTTTCCTTGTAATGAAGGGAGAGGGGTTAGGTGGTTAATTGTAGGTTGTTGTATATGTTGTTTCTCTAACCTTGATATTGTAAAAGAAAGACATTTTTCCATGAATATTGCATCCCGGATGTTTGATATGAGAAATTATTATGTTGGAGAATGAGGATAAAAAGCATAATACCATAGGGTGGACATTTCATTTCATTATAGCTTGAGCAATTGCATTTTGATGACGAAATTATAAGGAAAATGCCAAATGCCAGTTGAACATGAATGTTGTAAATTGTTAATGTTGTTGAATTAACCATTGTTGATAGAACACTCTTGTTTAGTGGGTTTATTCAAATTTCGGGGACGAAATTTCCTATGGTGAGGAGGTTGTAATGACCAGGTTTCCTTCATTCCTTTCCTTCTCTTTGGCTTCGTCCTCTCTTACTTCCGTTGGGTTTGAAACGTCCGAAAGTTATATCAAATCTAAGCCCTTATTCATGTTTTGTTTGGGTGTGTTGAATCTCGTTTGTTCCGGAGCGCGTTGGAGCAAGTTCGGAGCGTCTGGGAGCCAAGTTGTGAAAATCCGAGCTGGAAAGCAGGGGGCCGCACTTGCAGGGGCCCAGGGTCGCACGTGCGGGAGGCCAAGCCGCACGTGCGGGTAGTGGTGTGTTTGGCTGAGCAGCATACTGCCTAAAAGGCACGAACGGGAGGCAGGTGCAGGGAGTGCCGCACGTGTGGGGTGGGTGTGCCGCACGTGGGGAAGGGACGTGCCGCATGTGCGGGGATGGGCGCCGCACATGCGGGACCTGGGTAGCCCGAAAACCCTATTTTTCTTACATTTTGTGTCGAACTTGTAACACATTTTGGGGCTCATTCTCTCACTCTAAAACCTATTTTCTCTCCACCTTCTCTCTAGAAATCATCCCTAGCATTAAAGACTCTTTGATCTTACAAATCTTGGGGCTTAGATTCAACATCATTCCTCTCTATTTTGGGTGTACAAGCTAGAGCAACATTGTGTGGTGGGGTTAGAGCTTTGACAACTTGGGTTTCTAGGGTTTCTTCTCTCTCACCATCTCCATTTCTTCACCAAGCTTTGAGGTAGGGTTTCCTTTGAGTTATAGGTGTATTTATGCAAGTTTCTTGTTGATTTTGTGAAACCCTCTATGTATTTCGAAAATGGAGCCTAGGGCTCAAGAAATTGTTGATTTTTGCTTAAAGAAAAACTCATCTCATCTTCTTTTAAAGCTAATTCTACATGTTAATTGACACCAGTGGAACATGTGATTTATTGTGTAATGGTATTGGAGGAAGGTAAAGGAAGAAAGGCTATGGAATGTCATTGTTGCATCATATCTTCATGTAAATTTTGTCATTTCTATACATCGTGGTAGGAGTTTTGAAAAACATCTACATTGAGGAAGGTTATATTGTAATAAGAATTATGAGAATGTTAAAGGGGTAAATACGTGGTAAGTCCGGATAGAGGGTGTAGTTGTATTTGATAAGATGGCCTGAGTGTCTTTTGTGAAAGACCAGAAAACCGCGCAGATAGGTGTCGAGTCTTCCGGTTAGCACCGGTAAAAATGACAGTTTGGTAGTGTTTTGTTGAGCCTACTTGCAGACACCAGCCTAGGGATTACCAGAAATGTATTTACCGTCCCCTTTTGATTTAAAATTGGGAGTGTGGGAAATTAATGAGGTTGTATAAATGTTGACTGTAAGCATGGTGATTTTCAAGAAAAGCATAGTATGAGTTTTCCTTCAAATGGCGTGGCATAACATATGCATTTACATAAAATATTGTGAATCTTGCGCAAATGTACATACTTTGTTAAGGTTTCTCTACTGGGCTATATGCTCAGCCCTATGGGTTTTGGTGCAGGTAAAGATGTGGTGATCCCGCCAAATTGAGGGCATGGAAGTAATTTGAGAAGAGTAGTGCACTTTTATTTTTTTGTGATTAATTTTAAAGCCAATGGCTATTTTGTTTTGGGTCCGAGTGACCACTTTTGTGTAACTAGGCTTATGCCTTGGAAGATGTAAGCCCTTAAGGGCATTGTATTGTTTTGAGAATGGATGCTTTACATGCTATAGATTCATATGCTTTGTATCGATGAATGCATACCCGCATGTAAAACGTTTGTAAGGACTCTAATTTAATTATGTAAAGATGGGTAGATTATTGTTATTGTTGAGTGAATGTTGATCACTTGTGGGTAGTTCATGTCAAATTATTTTGGG